TCACAAAAGTCACTCAATTTTTATTTGTCACTTTAAAATAACTCAACTTATAGATTGTAACTTTAAAGTTATTTTGATGGTTTCTCCCACATATATTCATAAAAAATCTGACATGGCAACATAAATTCTGGTAATGGCTTTTTAAAAATGCCACATCAGCTTATAAGAACTCAATTTTTTGATATATGGTGAAATCATCTGAACCGTGACCCATTATACAAATAGCTGGGTCAATATAAAACGAACCCCATCCATTCAAACCAAAAGATGCCCTGGGTTCTAATTCTTACTTGTCTTTCCTTAGACAAACTAAGCATGCTCTATTATGCATTTTAATTGTGAGTGTTGCTTATTAAGCTTTTTTTTATTAAGTATTTTGACATTAAAGAAATAGCATTTTCGCAAATGCCTTTTATTAGTTACATATTGTGCTCCTGTATTGACTATTTCAAATTGAGCAAAGGATTCTAACTGTCAAAATTAACCACTTTTAATGAAATATATTTAATGATAAAAGTAGATAGCACAATGGAATAGAGAAGGAGAAGTGAAAAGTTGGTAATCGGTTGGGATTTGATTTATATAACACAATGGGTTAATGGGCAATGGGTCGGTAAATAGGGACTCCTAAATAAGAGGAAGGGTTGATATGGGATAAAATAATAAAAATGGTCCTTATAAGTTGATGTGGCATTTTAAAAATGATCCTATATTGCCATGTCAGATTTTTCATGTGAATAAGTTGGAAAAACCACCAAAATAACTTTAAATTTATAATCTATAAGTTGAGTTACTTTAAAGTGACAAATAAAAGTTAAGTGATTTTTGTGAAATTAACATTTAATTGAATGACCTGACCACCGGTGAAATTAACACGACGATAATATATTAGTAATTCTAACATATTCCATTTATTCCACTCACATTTGAAAAATTAGAAGGTGTACGTTATCACGTCGACGTGATAATTACTTGTGAAAAGCGTCAGGGACCAGCATTAGCTAGGAGCCTAGGATCATGACATACACATATATTAAACTAACGGATTCAGAAAATCTAGGAGTGAATGCTGCAGTGCTTTTCATGCCTTGCACTGGCAGTATTGTTAAAAAATTGTTTCTTTTCTTCTTTTTTCGAAAACGATACTGTTGCTTGCTGAGCACTTTAGCTTGTTCACAATCTCTATGATTCGTGCTCAGAGAATCTCTAATAAAAACCAATTAACAACGTGAAACCCAATTCTTAACCAGGGAGACTGTTAGGTGGTTAAAAGACAAAGGAAAAATCAGAATGGTGAGTGTGGGAGTTTTGTCGCGTAACGGAAGCGGAGAGGCTTGAGGTACCACTACAATGACACACGATTGCTCGTTGCGGCACACGCACGCACTTGGCGACGCCAGACTCGGCTTCGCCGTGGTTTCCTTTTTTTTATCCCCGTGCCCACTTATTTACCCATGTCTACCCTCTTTATTAATGCCACGTTAATTTCTGCTTCTGGCACACCAAATCAAGATTCGATTTTTGCAATGAGACAGGGACATATTATTGGAGGATGATCTTGACAAAAAGCCAACGTTCCTTTCAAGGAATGGGAGGAATATATGCTATTTGGCTAGTTTACGGTCACTCGCTATTAATAAAAGACGTTATAGAATGGTGCAGTAAATAATGTGGTGTCTGCACTTATTTAGGTGCACATCGACTCTAGTTACTATCTCTCCTTAGTATAAATACAGAATAATGTTTCCACAAGACTTATAGCCTCTTTGGACAAGCTTCTCCAATTATATATATTTATTTATTTATTTTTAAAACGCTTATTTTTTTAAAGTTAAAGTGTTTGATCAAGTTTTTTCAAAAAAAAAAAAAATACTTTCGAGCTCTTCCGCTGGGACTTCGTTGCGTCCCTCTCTTCTGGTACCTGAAAGTATCTTGGCACCTAATAAGATTCTGACACTTCTTCCCCCTAGTTAACTTCACTTGATTTGGGAGCAGGCATCGGTTCTTATAATTGCTATGCTGCATGCTCCTTCCCTTTGCTACTGGAGACCGAAATTGCATTCATCTTCCTTGCCGCCGGTTGGTTGCCTTTTATCTGTTTAATCCATTCGGAAGTTGGGAATTTCAGCAACTAGTGATATGTTGATGGTACGACACTCATATCGTGCAACCACGGTCTTCCCAGAATAATGTTGTAACCCATATCATGGTACACAACCTCGAAAAGGGTTGTCTTCATCACTCCCTCGGTATTTGTGGGCAGTAGGATCTCTCTTCGGGTCGTTACGCTTGCGAGGTTCAATCCGGTGAGGAGTTTTGTGGCCGAAATGATGCTTCCGGTAAGCTTGGCTTGCTCCAATACCCTCCATTGTATGATATTGGTCGAACTTCCTGGATCCACCAGAACACGTTTGATTTTAAAATCACATTTAAAGAAATTACCAATGCGTCGATATGCGATAGCAACAATCCGTCTGCGTCTTCCTTCATGAAAGTGATGTCGTCCTTAGCGACTTCCCGGAGCCTTTTGCCGTGGGTTACTGTTACCTTCTTCTTTTTTGCTGCCGAGAAGGTAACCCCATTAATCTCGTTCCCCCGAAGATCATGTTGATCGTCTGGCGCGGGGGGTCTTCTCTTATTTTTAGGGCTCCGCGTTATCACGGTTACGACCATAATTTTTCTTGGCCCGGCCACTTAAGAATTCCCTAAGATGGCCATTTTTTAATAATGTCGCCACCTCTTTACGCAGATGTCGGCAGTCCCCAGTCCGTTGGCCATTAGTCATGTGGTATTCGCACCACAAATTAGGGTCCCTCTGGCTGGGATCGGACCTCATCGGCTTTGGGAATCGTGCTTCTTTAATGTTCCTCATAGCCGATAACAACTTTACTACACTGACGTTGAAGTTGTATTTTGATAGCCCGAGATAGGAAGGATCTCGAGAACCTGACGTTTCTTTGTCCTGCAATGATTTGTTGCTCCGATCGCAATCAGTTCTTTTGTCAGTAACGAATCTGTCTGCCGACCGGAAACCTCTACCGCTTCATTCGGCCGATTCGTAGGGAAAAACTGGCCCCTCGAAGATCGTCAATCTGTGGCCAAATCATCTTTTGATTTTTCTTTATTCTTCTCCCGACCTTTAGCCGACGCCGGGAAGCCAATCTAATCATCTTGAATCCTTATCTTGGACTTATACCTATTGTGAACATCCGCCTAACTCGTCGCTTGGAACTCAAGCAAGCTTTCCTTCAATTTCGAGGAAGCATCAGAACTTTTCGGATTCAAACCCTTGGTGAATGCTTTAGCCGCCCATTCATGAGGAACAACCGGGAGCAATATTTTTTCCTTTTGGAATCGGGTGACGAATTCCCGTAGCAACTCGGACTCTCCTTGTGCGATTCTGAATATGTCGGCCTTTCGGGCCTGCACCTTTCTGGTCCAACATGGGCCTTAATAAAAGAATCCGCGAGCATCTCAAAGGAATCTATGGAATGCTCGGGAAGAAGCGAATACCACGTCAAGGCTCCCCTCGTGAGTGTCTCCTCGAATTTCTTCAGCAAAACAGATTCAATCTCGTGGGGAGCTAAAATCGTTCCCCTTCACCACCGTTGCATAGGTGATAATATGTTTATGAGAGTCCGAAGTCCCTCAAGATTGTGTGTATTGTTAACACCATTATTTGCCATTTTCTGTAATTTTTGCTAAGAACATATAATCAAAACATGTTAGTAAAAAAGACAAGGATCAACTTAATTACACGATTTTCTAGGCCCCACGATGGACGCCAAACTATTTGCCCGTAAAACGATACAGTTGAATTTATACGTACTTTCTAGACAAGTGAATTAATTCGATCCTGAAATAATAAAAGAATTGAATAAATATGCAATATTTAGCCTTAATATGAAAATGAAATAGCAGAAACCGTAGTTTCGGGAGCAGGGCTTCCGGGCACAACATCGATGAAATCAAAAGGCGAGAGGATAAAGTTGTATAAAGCTTTTAATATATTGTAGCGTAAGTATGCTAGAAAATGCGTCCCTTTTACAATGATAACAGAGCTCATTATTTATAGTTGCATCTAGGGAATAAGGTCCTAGGATTATGTCCTTCTTTAATATGAGGGCTATTAAAGAATGTGTAACGGCAGGCATGAATGATAAATTTTTTGTAACGGCCAATGTACTAAATACTGTAGAATATTCTTCATTAAATGCTATAGTGACAGGCATTTATTGCATATTTATGATCATTATTCTTTTTCGGTAATAAATGAAACAGTTGTCTTCGGATTTAGCTATCCTCTGCCTTCGGCTTCACGTGTAACTCTCTTATACAATTACTTAACATACCATATTTTACCCTATACATATAGATTCATAAAAAATATAAAACACAGAAAAACTTTACTGCATTTGCACCAAAAAGGTAATGGGAAGGATCAAAGTATTTAATTTTTTGTGTTAATTTGGAATATCCGTTATTTATTTTTCAAAGAAAAAATTCAAATATTCAAAATTACAGTAAAATAAATATAAAACCTTCAAAATAATTATCGTCCAAGAGATAGGAAAAAGTGAAAAACAATTTAGTCTTAGTTTCACAATGTCAGACTCTCCCTGTTCTTCCCCTCATCACTAAATAAGAAAAAGTCAATCGATCTCTTATGCTTCTATCTCAAATTAAGAAAAATTTCAATTATATCTATTTTAAGCGGACTTATTTCATTCAAATAACCAGAAAAAAGATTTTCCAAAACTAGGGGTTGTATCCTTTACCGCTTACTAAACTAAGAAGACATTGATAAATCCAAGATTATAAATATAACATCGATAAATAAACATAATTCCAATTATAGTTGCTATACTTTTGGCTTTACATTGTATTTTATTTTTTAGCTAAATTCATACTCATTTCAAAGTGGAAAAAAGGAAAAACAAAATAAAAGGAGAAAGGAAATTGGGGTGCAAATAGAAAGCGGTAGCGTAATGGTAGTTTTCAAAAATCATTCGTCTTATCGTCTGAAAAGAAAAACCAGAAAAAGATCCAAAGCCTCCACTATAAAACAACATCACTTCGCACAAACCGAACTCACCTGTACCTTTTAACCGCTAATATCCTCTTTACAGATTTCTCTTCTAAATGCCTCCACACGATGACGAACAGCAACAATTGCTAGCCAACCGATTACTCGATTCCAACGAGGAAGAAACAGCGTATGACTACTCCGACAAAGTTCATATCATCGGAGTCGACGAACACGACGGTGAAGATTTCACCGAAGCTCCTCCTTTTTCTTGGAAAAAGCTATGGCTTTTTACTGGGCCGGGTTTTTTAATGAGCATAGCGTTTTTGGATCCGGGAAACCTTGAAGGAGATCTTCAGGCGGGTGCAATCGCTGGGTACTCTCTGTTATGGCTACTCTTTTGGGCTACGGCTATTGGGCTACTTGTTCAGCTTTTATCGGCTCGTTTGGGAGTGGCCACCTCTAGACATTTGGCTGAGTTGTGTAGGGATGAATATCCTACATGGGCTAGGTTGCTTTTATGGATCATGGCTGAATTGGCTTTAATTGGGGCTGATATTCAAGAGGTTATTGGCAGTGCTATTGCTATAAAGATTTTGAGTCGAGGATTCTTGCCTCTCTGGTCTGGTGTTGTCATTACCGCTCTTGATTGGTATCTTCTTTTTCCCTCTCGTCTCCCTTTTAGAAATTGGAGCTATGTTTTATTATGAATTACATTGTTTTGGACATTTGAAAGCTTTGATCTTTAACTTCATAACTGCCTTTAGTTATAACATACTGTTAATACAAGAATAATTCTTCTCAGCTTCTGTTTAACATATTTTTCTGTTACTTCTCGCGGCTACTTGTTTATTCCTAAATATATTTATTGGAGAAGCAGGTGAAGAAGGATAAGAAATGGTTATACTTTTGCCAGGTCAAATAATAAAATAGTGATACATAAGAAGCTTCAACCCTTCACAACACCACTATACGAGTATAGTATTCTCAATTAATTTTTGTAATGGTCCGTGAAATGGATAAAGAGGATACATATCGACGATGCAATTAGCTTGGATTGAAATATAGTTAAATGGTTGACTTTTTTTAATTATCGTCTTCATCCAGGATTAATTCTATGTTAAACTGACTTGGGAAGCATGTGTCATTCCTCCACGACTGAATAATTGCCTATTGAGCTCAAGACCCGCCTTTATGATTCAACCCTTTTTTTATGCAGCTTTATATTCTTATTTCTTGAGAACTATGGTGTGCGAAAGCTGGAAGCACTCTTTGCCGTCCTTATTGCAGTTATGGCAGTCTCATTTGCATGGATGTTTGGAGAAACAAAACCTAATGGAGTTGAACTTCTTGTTGGTGAGAAAATTCATCACAAAGAATAACTGTAAAATTAAGATTTGCCACTTTTAACTGTCTAAATGATAAATCAGTTGTTTGCATGGCCTTAACATCTCCTGATCAATTGTCCTGCAGGTATTGTGGTTCCAAAACTGAGCTCCAAGACAATAAAGCAGGCAGTGGGAATTGTAGGGTGTGTTATCATGCCTCACAATGTGTTTCTACATTCTGCTCTAGTGCAGTCCAGAGAGATTGACCACCATAGGGTTGGAAGAGTTCGAGAAGCACTCAAATACTACTCCATAGAGTCGACAGCTGCTTTGGCAATTTCATTCATTATCAATCTGTTTGTCACAACAGTGTTCGCAAAGTCATTTTATGGTAGTGAAATAGCCAATAGCATTGGCCTAGAAAATGCAGGTCAATACCTTCAGGAAAAGTATGGCGGAGGAGTGTTCCCCATCCTTTATATCTGGGCTATTGGATTGTTGGCTGCTGGACAGAGTAGCACTATAACTGGCACTTATGCTGGGCAATTTATTATGGGAGGTTTTCTGCACATGAGGTTGAAAAAATGGCAGAGAGCGTTAATAACAAGAAGTTGTGCTATCATCCCAACTCTGATCGTTGCTCTTGCTTTTGACACCTCTGAGAAGTCATTAGATGTTCTCAACGAGTGGCTTAATGTTCTTCAGTCTGTTCAAATCCCTTTTGCCCTGATCCCCCTTCTTTGTCTTGTATCCAAAGAAGAAATCATGGGTGTTTTCAAAATTGGCTCTACTCTAAAGGTATGTTCTTATCTTCAAAAGTTTTGCTCCAGTGAACTGCTTTCACGAGCCAGCATTAGATCTATTTCTTATTCTTTTCGTCTTTAATTTGGAGTTTATCCACAAAATGAGAAATATCATTTCATAAAAAGTCATCATTTTTACGACAGGTGGGGATCAATAACTTATATAATTGTTTTTGAGGGATATTCTTAAAAGATAAGGAGTGTTATTTATTAAGCTTTAGTGTTAAATGGGATTGTAATCTAGATGCAGGGACAAGGATTGAAATTAGAGATAAGCCTTTTTTCCCACTCTCCCATTCTCATTTAAAAGGATGCAGTTCTCTCACAGTTTATATGAAATCCAAAATACTCTTTGACCTTGACTAATCTGCTGGTACATTTTGTTGATTGTGTGGCCTTCTTCTTTCTGTTATTTGTGTGTACTGCCTTTTCGCTAACTTTATAGTGTATCAGCAAAGTGTAGTACGACGTGGTATTTGTCTGATTCACATCATTTTAGATTTTTACTTGTCCGGGAAGAAGAAATCTCCTGCATTTTATCCTGTCTTGACCTCTTGATTCTATTGAACGAATAAATTCAAAGAAATTGCTATAGGCATAGTTATGCAGATTGGCAGCCCTTGCCTATTCATTTTATCAGCTTTCAGAATAAGAGATAAAATATTAATCTATGCCTGGGGCATATGATACTCTCACATGTTTCATTAGACATAGTTCGTCAGGGGTTCAAAAAAGAAAAAAGTTAAAAAATTAAAAGAGACTGTAGCTAGTGGGAATAGGTTTTGAACCCCTGACCACTAAGTTATGCTTTTGGGAAATGCCAAGGGGATTCAAAACATAATATATAGAGGTAAAAAACAGATTTTGCCTTATATATACAGTGTAATTTTTCGGCAAAGGGGATTCGAGTGACCCCCCTTCCGCCCCCCTAAATCCGCCCCGGATTCTAGCATGCTTGATGGTTCTCATACTGCTTACATCTTATTTCTTCTGTTTCTGTTTAGGTGATATCATGGCTTGTGGCTGCGCTGGTGATACTGATTAATGGCTATCTTTTGATGGACTCCTTATCTTCTGCAGTCAGTGGGGTGTTGTTTACATCTGTTGTATTTGCATTTACGGGTGGATACGTTGCTTTTATTGTATACCTCATTTTACGGGGAATTACCTTCCCCAATTGGTTTGTAAAAAACAAGAGTATCACCAGCATAGAGAATTGATAATGTTATTAGCAGAAAGCTGAGATCACGTTGTTTGTGCCCTTTTAGTCTGAGCTTCAATATTAGGTTCTACTAGGTGTGAGGAGCAATTGGATATATCTGTATCATTGATCAATGGTTACATTTTACCTTCTAACAAGGAAAATCAATAGCACATTTTAGTACGTCTCGGCTTAGACTACTATGTTGTGTGTGTTGGAGTTCATCAGCAGAGCGTCCTGTAATTACATTTCATGCTTTAGTGGATTTGGTCACTGATGAATAAAGATGAGGAAACTTTGGTCAATGACGCAAAAAGAGAAGGGTAACAAAAAACATGTGGAGTAAATGAATTGCTGGAGAGGCTTAGTTTGCAATTGGGCTGTTAAATTTACCTACAAAATTGTATTCATTTGTGAGGCAACTTAGCTTGTTTATAAATGATGCACAACAAAACTTAGTGAAAAAGAGAATTATCTTTGTGTAGTTTGTTATGTATATTTCTCTTTCAACATTTTTACGCATTTTAATTTCTTGACTGTTTGATTTGAGGGCCAGATGTTTGGGAAACTTATCCCTTCATCGAGACTGAAAACGGATCACAAGAACTCTCATTCTTTGCACCTGTCTTTCTTCTCATTTCTTCAGTCTGGAAAAGTAGGAATTAAATCTTTATTTGAACGGAATTAGAAGAGAAGAAAGGATAAGAATAGTGGGAAGCAAAAAGAATGCAATGAAAAATTTCTTATTCTTTACATTTCCCCAAGTTCCTGCTTGGATGAGAACCACATGTCATGGTTAAGAATTAAAGGTTGAGATCTGATTAACCAAAATCAAGGCCCTAACCATGGTTAATATTTAACTTATTGACAAATATTTCCATGTCACTGTTTCCATAGTTGTTTTTTTTTTTTCACGTTTCTGAACTTCCATAATTTCATTTTTTTGCTCCTTGTTTTATTGTGTTATTAGGGATATGTAGTTTTTATTTATTTTGAGTTAATCTTTAATTGGTTTATTGCAGTGTTTTCCTTTTTCCTTAGTATGTTCAGCCCTTATTATATTATCCTTGTTCTTCTTACTATACTTTCGTCGTAATTTACTTAATAAGAATATTGGTGGCTAAGATAATCTTAGTTTTCTTGCCGTTCTAAAGGGTTATTACAATAGCTCAACTGAGCATTATCAATTGTTGGTATAATATATAAATTAGCATAATTAAAAGGCACCTAGTTATAAAAAATATTTAAAGTATCATTCCTGTTTATATTTATGAATGATTCTGTAGCTAGAAATAGAATTGTGGGCTTACCCAAAATTTTAAGAGCAATTTATGCAAAATATTCATTGAGCTTAAATTAATTATTCTTTTCTACCCATTTGAAAATTAGTTACAATATATACCTACCTAATTAAAACTAATTACCCAACCTACCTACCCATCCCACTTTTGTTACCCATTTGGCTTAACATATCTTGATTTGGCTTGGTTTGAATTGAATTGGCTTGACTTGACTTTGTTTGGCTTGACATGAATTGGCTTGGCTTGGCTTGGTTTTAGTAGCTTAGTACTTTATTTGGTTGGAAGGGTTGGGCATTAAAAAAAATGGGTAGGGGGAAACTATATGGGTAGGGGACGGTAAATAATTTATGGTGGGTGGGTATTTGCAAAAGATCCCCAATTTTTAAAGCAAATATATTGAATATCTGTTTTCTAACCATGATTAGGACCTTGTTTTTGTTTAATTAAATCTGAGCCATTAATTTTAAACTATGTCATATATCTTCCATCTAAGTAGGAACGTGGAGAAATAAAGAGAATAAAAATGGAGAGGAGTTAAAGAGAAATCCCTTGGTAGATTTCTCGGTTGAAATCCAACTAGCAAGCTATGTTATTACATAGTCCAAGCCCCTTAAATCCTTGCTCTCCATGTTAGTGGTGCTGTTCTTTGATTTTTTGTTATTTCAGTCATTTGACTTCTTTATTGTTCACTGTTCTCTTTTACAGAACGTGTAAAGAGAGAGAATTGGTGACTTGAAGAGTAATTTAATGTATATAAGAAAGACTTTTGCATGAAGTGTACCGACTGATATCCTTACCTACACCGAATGTAAAGGGTTTTTGTTTGAAGCCTTATATTTCCCGTCACCTACATGATAAAGTTGATGATACGTACAAGAGACGTTTCTGGTTAAATGATTATTAAGATTTTATTAGTTATGTAATCAACAAGTTACTTTTCTTTGTTCCTTAAACTGATTCAAATTACAATGACTCGGAGATAATTTTAAAATTGCTTCGACTCGTTCACAAATTTACGCGTTGTCACTAGATAACTACACTCGAGTGACTGAGAATCTGAAATTATTACTACTACTAGGGTTCACTACTATTTCTACTTCAATGATCAAATTTGACATATGGAAAACCGTAACGTTAGGACTTGGCAACGGTTAATTAACGCAGCAGAATCATGTTCAAGTTGAACAGTCCATTAATAACGCAGAGGTAAATGATGAGATCAGAAATAGGCAAATAAACAAATGAAATTTATATAATAGAAGAAAGTGGGAGGTAAAGAAGAGCGTCCAAAAGGAGTAAAAGTAGTGAAGACATAGTACAATCTCTACCCTTACACTCCACGAAAGAATATAAAAAAGGAGCCAATGTGGCCAAATCTCTAAAAGGATCCAAATGAGGACCCCGTGACCATAAAGCACCAGAACTAACAAAAGGATAAATTATATGTCAACATCAAAATGATAAAATACTGGACAAAATATGTTTCAGAAAAAGAAAAAAAAAACAGAGCCACGATCCTTAGAACAAGAACCAGCTCATCACAGCCCATCCAGCTACCAAGCTTCCAAGCATCTTCAATTTCTCTGCTCCGCTCTGCATTAGATCCATAATATATTAGATTAATATTTAATTTATCTTTAATAATTGAAGAACCAGATCCAAAACATATATTTATTCCTGTAAACGGTAACAATTTTTAGAAATGGAGAAACTTTAATGTAATAAAGTCAGTATATCAATTATCAAATGAGTATTATATTATCCTTTTTAATAATGCAAATGCAGATCAGGAAGATTAAAGTAACATGGCACAGGTTTCGTGTGCATGTGCATTTACAAGACTTAACCACTGCTGCCTCGTGCTTAGCGACCAATGAGTGTCCTTTCTCGAAACTATTACTGTTTGGTCAGAACACTACAATTAAAGAAGATCAGAAGAATCTTTGGCTGTCTCCGTGCAGTGAGCTAATTAATAAGCTAATAACTATATGCATTATTAACAAAATTCCACCGACACCATATGCTATTGTGCGTCTCGGTGCCCAATACGCGAATTAATAGACACACAGTTAATGAGAATGTCAATGTGCAAGTGTGTTAAATGTAAATGCTCCCTAATGGACCAATATGTGCCCAATCCCGATCGATCACCTAAAAATCAACTACATCTACTAGTTTAGTGAAGAACGAAAACCATATGTATTTAAAGATGAATTCTCCTACCTGTTAAATTCTATACATATTACAATACTAGTGTAAGTCCTATTCACAGAGGACTATCTATGTTAATAAGGGTAACGGGCACCAATAAAGTTCTCGGTAAAAATTTGGCTTTAAAAAATAGTAATATATTAGTATACAAGTCAAATTTTAATTGAATGCAAATTTACGCCCGCTATTCTCTAAATCCTCGCTCCGCGCAAGTAAGCATATGGGTCTCATATTATATAACGAAAGACGCCCCGAATTACGAGAATGCAGATAAGCTAATACTAGAAAAATGAATAAGTTGATTGAATATATTACTAGATCTGGAAGAACATTAGCGATCGAGCGTATCTTAATTAGACTGTAAAAGAAGATAAATTAAACTACTAAAAAGAAAGATATTTTAATGAGATTATGTACCTCATCGTTGAGAGATGGACTGGGAGAGTCGGAATCCATGCTAGGTCCAGGAGCTTCAGTAGGAGGTGCAGGTGGGCTCATCATATCAGGAGAAGGTGCTGGAGAAGATGCTGAAACTGGAACTGGAGCAGGTGGAGCAGAAGCAGCTGGTGGTGTCGCTGCCACCGGAGCTGGTGCTGGTGGAGATTGTACCGGTGTAACCGCTGGTGGTGGTGAACTCACAGGCACTGCAGCTGGTGGAGAACTAGCTGGTGTTTTAGCTGGTGGTGCTGATACAGGTGGAGTAACAACAGGGGTAGTAGGAGCAGTGGCTGGTGCAGCTGCTGGAGGAGTAGAAACAGCTGTGGGTGGAGCTGAGGCAGGTGCAGTAGCAGGAGCAGGAGTTTTAGGCTTTGTGGGAGCAGCAGCTGGTGGTGTAGAAGCCTTAGCACCAACTGGTGCTTTGGCTGGTGCAGCCGCAGGTGTCTGACCTGTGACACTGGCCACTACAATGCACAAAAATGACACTAAAAATACAATCTTCCTATCCATTGCTTCAAATAATCAAGAATCAAGAATCTGTAGAATAGAAGAGATGGTAAATGGAAGAGGGGAGAGAGTGTGATTTGTGGCTAAAGAGAGTGAAGTTAAGTGCATATAAGTAGGCAAGTTAAGATTAATGCTGCTCGGTGGGCCGGGCCTGAACCGGACCGGACCGGGCCCGCGGTCCTAACGGGCNGATGTAGAACAAGGCATAACGGCTAGAGAAGGGTGGACATCTGGGTGGGGCCATGCAAAAACAAACAAAATAGGGAAGGCTACTATTGTGTGGCAATTAAACAGGCTGGATTAGGGCCCAATTGGCCATGTGATTAGGTAATGGGCCTCACCACGTCAGGTGTTTTGGGTTACGCGGAGTGTAGGTGATTATTGTAGCTGGAACTTTTGATTTGGTGTCTTCGATGGAGGGCAAAGCACACAGCTGGAACATGGTTAGCTGTGGGACCATTTGAATCACAAGCAAATCAAGTCCGTCCGCGATGGCTTTGAGGCGATGATTGTGGAAGAGGATTACTTTAGCTGGACTNCACCGTCCGCGTTGGCTTTGAGGCGATGATTGTGGAGGAGGATTACAGGAAAAATGCCTTACTTTAGCTGGACTCTCATTCCACCGACGAGGTAGGACCCTTGCGGTGGAGCAACTTTGCTACAATTCTTTATCCCCGTATAATAACACTTCACCATAAAAATTAAGTTTTTCCGAAAATAATTTTTATGTTATGTTATAATATATGTTTTCTATAACACTACTTTGCTATGACATCCAAAAATATTCGAAACAACAGAGCTGTTGTAAAGAGGTTTGACTGTTTAATAATTTCTTTTTTTTCCTGGTTATTTAATAGTCTTGGGAGTAACTTTCTTTTACAAAATCTTTTTGAAAACGAAACAAAATTTTTGTAGTTAGCGATTAGTCATATTTTTTTGTTAAAATTTATCTATAAAACTTCACAATTTATCGAACAGTTTTTGTTGAGATATTTTGTAGGATCATTATTTTCAATTCAAATTGTAAGTAGGGGATAGAAAATCATTTTATCATCCAAGCCACTTAAGAAAATATACGTACTTAACCAGGAGTGTCCGTATTCTCGACGTCATGATGGGGTAACGGTAGTATTTCCAAAAAATTGCAAAATATGATATTTTTTAGAGTGATCTTTAATTTTTGAATCTAGTTTCTTCTGTCGACAAAACTTCAAGGTCAAAAGTTAAATATGTTATTAATTGGACAAGCGAGTCGCTACATTTATTAAACATGAAATTCTACTAATGGAACAACTACGGATAAAAATTCAAAATCATCCACTTTGAGGGCTATTTGTATATTTCACCCTAGTATTTCAGATTGCTGGTTATTGGTCCATGACAATTCGTTTGTTCCCTTTTTTGCTTGGCATATACTACTGCACAACAAAAATTTAATTTTACAGTTGGCCTGGCCAAACGCTTTGAATTGATTACATTGGAATTGAGCAAAAGATAGCTAAAGACAAAGAAGGAAATAAATTATAAATAGACAACTCAACCAATTGTAAAAGAATTGGATACAAAAGTGGGAAAAAAGATAAACAGAAATATGAGGAATATTTTTATTTGTAGAATGGAATAGTAGGTGTGTATAAATGATGATTGACATTATGGGGTTCCAAGAAAGAAATTCCAAATGGCATACGCGTGAATCCTATATGGTTACTGTAAGAACCACAGTTGTGTCCTTCATTTACTTAGATCCATTTCCAAGATTGGCAGAAGGATAGTGACCATTGTCCAACTCTGTTAATCTTTTTACAGAGGAAAAAAGAAGAATTAAGCATGGCGTTTTGTATGAAAAAGGCTATACTGTGTTTTTAGATTTAATCAGACAGAGCCCCATCTCGTTTTTCTAGCCGTTATAGGGAAGAGAATTAAATTGATAGACGTATAAGTAGACACTCACGGACACGGATACAGCTCATAAGCATCAGGTACATTTTAACCTTGTATTTAAAATTTGAAGCATAAACATAAACATGAAAATTCAATAACATTTTAACAAATACTATATTTAAACTCATAATTTTAGAAATACAATAAATTAGGTGCAAAGAACGTTCAAGGTCGAATGCCTTTGGCCTCATCCGACCTTTACTTTCAAGTTTAAGTTATATATGTATGAGTCGAAATCTGTCCGATAGTATTCGAAATAAGATTACCCAGTAAGACAAAGTCTCGAGTCGTTAGCAAGAAGAGAAACAAGTCATATTTCTACAATTTTAAACAAATACAAAATCAAAATAGAATACTCAATCATGAATAAATGCAAGCAAATAACCTCTCCTTCTTTTTCTACAATGTAAACAAAAAAGTCTATGTAAGTAAAATACTAGTAATAAAATACTGGTAAATAAATAAAAAGAAAAAAAGAAAGGAGCAATAGCACCCTCTTGATAGAACAAGAAAATGATTATTGCTCCTTTCTTTTCAAAACCTCCTATAGACTAGACTGAGATCTTATCCATTTGTAGATGGAACTTCGATAGCAGCTAGGTCTAGAGGGAAGTTGTGAGCATTACGTTCATGCATAACTTCCATACCAAGGTTAGCACGATTAATGATATCAGCCCAAGTATTAATTACACGACCTTAACTGTCAACTACAGATTGGTTGCAATTGAAACCATTTAGGTTGAAAGCCATAATGCCGATACCTAAAGCGGTAAACCAGATACCTACTACAGGCCAAGCAGCTAGGAAGAAGTATATCGAATGAGAGTTGTTGAAACTAGCATATTGAAAGATCAATCGACCAAAATAACCATGAGCGGCTACGATGTTATAAGTTTCTTCCTCTTGATCGAATCTGTAACCTTCATTAACAGATTCATTTTCTGTGATTTCCCTGATCAAACTAGAAGTTACCAAAGAACCATGCATAGCACTGAATAGGGAGCCGCCAAATACACCAGCTACGCCTAACATGTGAAATGGGTACATAAGGATGTTGTGCTCAGCCTGGAATACAATCATAAAATTGAAAGTACCAGAGATTCCTATAGGCATACCATCAGAAAAACTTCCTTGACCGATTGGGTAGATCAAGAAAACTGCGGTAGCAGCTGCAACAGGGGCTGAATATGCAACAACAATCCAAGGTCGCATACCCAGACGGAAACTAAGCTCCCACTCACGACCCATGTAACAAGCTACGCCAAGTAAGAAGTGTAGAACAATTAGTTTATAAGGACCACCATTGTATAACCATTCATCAACAGATGTTGCTTCCCAGATTGGGTAAAAATGTAAACCTATAGCTGCAGAAGTAGGAATAATGGCACCGAATATAATATTATTTTCGTAAAGTAGAGACCCTGAAGCAGGTTCACGAATACCATCAATGTCCACTGGAGGAGCAGCAATGAAGGCAATAATAAATTCAGAAGTTGCCGTCAATAAGGTAGGGATCATCAAAACACCAAACCATCCAATGTAAAGACAGTTTTCAGTGCTGGTTATCCAGTTATAGAAGCGACCCCATAGGCTTTCGCTTTCGCGCCTCTCTAAAATTGCAGTCATGGTAAAATCTTGGTTTCTTTAATCATCAGGGACTCCCAAGCACACGAGTTTTCTACAAATAAAAATAGAAAATGGAAGGCTTGTTATTCAACAGTATAACATGATTTATATACTCGTGTCAACCAAGGTGTATGTAGATCTATTCAAATTTTTAATAAAGTTGATTGGAAAAATACGGACTTCTCTACAGAGAATTAGAATTTCCATATGCTAGTGGGTTGCCCGGGATTCGAACCCGGAACTAGTCGGATGGAGTAGATAAGTTCTTTGTTAAATAAAATAAATGTTAATCTTAAATTAAATAAACAAGTAAAGACCCCTCTCCAAATCGTGCTTGTATTTTCATTGTACACGGCTTTCCCTATGCATACATTAGTTCCTTTCTTATAGAAATTAGAAAGACTTTAAAAAGTTGAATACTCAGTTGATTTACCCCTTAATTACTATTACAATCAACATTTCAGAATAGTGAAATTTTTTTATCTCTTCATCATTTAGAAACAAATTTCCATTTAGAAAATCTAAGAATGAATCATTGATAATTCGCCAGATCATTGATACAAAAAATATCCAAATACCAAATCCGACTTCTATATACTCCCCACAAACTAGAAGAAGCTCGTGGGAAGGTCAAAGAAAGAACTTGTTCTTCCGACGTTAAGAATTCTTCCAATAATTCCGAGCCCGATCTTTTCAAAAAAGTGCGTACAGTACTTTTGTGTTTCCGAGCTAAAGTTCTAGCACAAGAAAGTCGAAGTATATACTTTATTCGATATAAAGTCTTTTTTTTGGAAGATCCGCTATAATAATGAAAAAGATTTCTGCATATACGCCCAAATCGGTCAATAATATCAGAATCTGATAAATCGGACCAAACCGGTTTACTAATGGGATGCCCTAATACGGTACAAAAGTTTGCTTTAGCTAATGATCCAATCAAAGGAATAATTGGAACAAGGGTATCGAACTTCTTAATTGCATTATTGATTAGAAATGAATTTTCTAACATTTGACTACGTACCATTGAAGGATTTAGTCGCACACTTGAAAGATAGCCCATAAAGTCACGGGAATGATTGGATAATTGGTTTATATGGATCCTTCCTGTGTGAAAGCACAGAGAACAATGACATTGCCAAAAATTGACAAGGTAAAATTTCCATTTATTCATCAAAAGAAACGTCCCTTTTGAAGCCAGAATGGATTTTCCTTGATACCTAACATAATGCATGAAAGGATCCTTGAATAACCATAGGGTAACCTGAAAATCTTTAGCAAAGACTTCTACAAGACGTTCTATTTTTCCATAGAAATATATTCGTTCAAGAAGGGCTCCAANTCATAGAAATATATTCACTCAAGAAGGGCTACAAAAGATGTTGATCGTAAATGAGAAGATTGGTTCCGTAGAAAGACGAAAGTGGATTAGCATTCATATACATAACAATTATATAAGAACAAGAAGAATCTTTGATTTTTTTTGAAAAGGAGTGACCGGGCTTCTTTGAAGTAATAAGACTA